TAACAAACGTCCTCATTCCCTTTTCGACGTTGTTCGAAGTTGGATACACTCTAGCCTTTGAAATTACTAGCAGTCTTTTCAAGCAATTCTGTTCTTATTTTGCCTTGGATTTATTTTTAACTTGACAAGATACTCCGATCTCTCTCAGCTCGTGGCCCGGGCGATGCCGCCCATCCTTGATCATTTGGGGGTCTCTTTTGAGACTCCGTGCCGGGGTGGTTTTGGGGTCGGGTCTGTGGGGGCCGCCGGCTCCTGCGCATCCCGCCCACCCTGTCCCGGTTGTGGGACTCCACCCGGACCTCATCCTTCGCCTGAATTCCCAAGCGAAATCCAAGCCGGTTGCCGCGTCGCGGCGTCTTACGGCTGCTTTTCCGGTCCCCGAGGACCAGTTTAAGCAGTTCATTCAGGCGCCGCCCATTCCTTGCGCTGCCAAGGGCAGACTGTGGGAGGATTAGAAGCTCTCTTCTGCTTCTAAGGCTTTGTTTTCTAACAAAGCTCAGGGCGTGGCTGAGGAGGCTTTGGCCTTTGTGGACCGCGCGGCTTGGGAGGGCATATGCGCCGTGAATGGGGCGGGGTTTGCTTTGTCCTTCTTGTCTGATGCTGACGCTAACCCAACTCTCGTCCCGGACGCCATTGGCCTCCTTCGGGTGGGCATTGGCCTTATTTCGGACCAGTTTAGTTCCATCGCCCAGGCTGCCGGCGCAGCCCGGAGGACTAATGTGCTCCGGGCGACGACGGTCAGCCCCGGTCACTTTGATCGGTTTTTTAGACTGCCCCTCTTTTGGGGCAGAGGACCTCTTCTTTGGCCAGTTCGCGGCCAAAGAAGAGGCTTGGGCTAGGGAGTTGGAAGCGCGGCATCAGACTAGGGCTAAGTTCCCGCGCTGTGACCGCCGTTCAGTGCTTTCCCAGCGCTGGGCGTTCGCGAGGCCGTCACATCAGCCCCAGCAGCAACAGCCTCTGTTGCATCCCCTCCCGCAGCCCGCAGCCGCTGTCCCTCCTGCTCCTGCTCCTGCTCCTGCCACCAATTGACAATTCACCCGGGCTGCTCCCTCAGCCGACAGGGCACGGCGGGGGAGTGGTGGCCCTCGTTCCTGATGTTCATGGTGGGGGGCCCGGTTCCTCAGTAGAAGGAGGGACCAGCCCGGTAGGGGGGAGGCTGATGCTTTTCACCCACGAATGGGAACGGCTGTCTCCGGACAGCTGGATCATGCAGACTATATCCCGTGGGTACCAGATAGAGTTTACTTCCCCTCCGGTTGCGTACGGAGGGATGAACACGCCCATTGCAGCCTCCCCCGAGAAGAGGGAAGCCCTGTTTTCAGGGGTGAACGACCTTCTTTTGAAAGGGGCTGTAGTCGAAGTTGTTCCGAATACCGAAGACAAGGGGTTCGTTTCCACACTCTTCCTGACAGAAAAATCGTCAGGCGGATGGCGCCCTATCCTAAATCTGCGGCGGCTGAACCAATGGATCAGACCGCAAAAATTCTGCATGGACACTCTCGCTCTTATTCTCCAGGGCCTCATGCCCGGGGACTGGGCCGCTACTATAGACCTCAAGGATGCTTACTTTCACGTGCCTATTTTCCCAGAAGATCGCAAATGGCTGCGTTTTCGTCTGGACGGTCGTACGTATCAGTTCAAAGCTCTTCCCTTCGGTCTATCCACGGCTCCTCGGGTGTTTACACGGGTGGTAAAATCCCTAGGTGCAGTGTTCCACGCGAGAGGGATACGTATTTTCATGTACCTAGACGACTGGCTCGTGGTCGCAAATTCCCGAGCAACTTTGTTGCATCATCTCAGCATTGTCTTAGACATGACGGAATCAGTAGGGTTCATTATCAACCGGGAGAAATCGGTTTTGGTTCCCACGCAACTTCCGCTGTATCTGGGGGCGCACATTGATCTTGTTCGTTCAGTGGCGTTCCCCTCCACGGGTCAGATCCGCAAGTGCCAGCTAGCAATCACTCAGCTTCTTTTCCTTCCGCATTCCCCAGCCGAGTCGTGGCTGCGAATGTTGGGGTTTCTTGCGAGCCTGGTAGACCTAGTTCGTGATGTTGGTAGTCTATGAGTGAGATACTTACCTGGATAACCTTCCCTCCCTTCCTACCCTCGCCGTGATCGTGTCGATCTTTAGGGAATGAGGACGTTTGTTAGGGAGACGGTTCGCATGTGGCGCCTTGGGTCGGACTGTTCCATTTTTTTCGAAGGGGTGTTCCGTTTTGGGAACAATGGCAATTAATCGGTTATCCAGGTAAGTATCTCACTCATAGACTACCAACATCACGATTGATTTGTGTATTCTGTCGCATGGCTTAGGTTTTACTATTTGCTTTGTTTTTAATTATTTCTTGTCGTTCTTGTAATATATAGTGGTATGGTATAATCTATAAGTGACCGAAAAAAATTATTGTTGTGTTGCCCATAGTGACATTTTTAGAGTTTATAACCAACAATTCTTTACCCCATACATTTGTTTGGTAAAAGGTTGTGACCACAATGCTAAAGCCAGTGGTTGAAGTATTTAATAAATGCATTTATATTTAACCATCAATTATACAATCTTCTAGTTAAAATAATATTTTTGGCAAAAAAAGAAATACAAATCTCATATTTTCTCAGGATTTCTAGTTGGTCAGGCTTACTATTTAGGCAAATTTGTTTTTTGCCTCATAGTGTCTTCTAAATTTTTAATTTCTATTTTTCAGCTGTATGCGGTGGCATCTTTAATGCTACTGATATCCCACAGAACATTACCTCCCCGAACTATCCAAATAATTATGACCACAACCTGCGTTGTCGCTGGACGGTAGTTGCCCCTGATGAAGAGGAAGTGCGTATCAAGGTGGATGTACTTGACATTGAAAGCCATGACAACTGTATCTATGACTACCTCGAATTAAGAGACTTTCCATTGGTTAGTTATTAAATCTTCAATACAATAAAAAAACGTAATCTGTTAAGAAGAAATATCTTCAGTATAAATAGTGAATAAATGTTGACTACATGTTTACTTTGAAATGTGTATTGTCACAATTAGATATTAATCACAAGACCCTAGATTAGTTTAATCTACCCAAATGAGTTATGTGATGCCATTGAAATATAGGGGATTTTTTTAATTGGATTTTATATCATGCTAAATTTTTCTATAGTGAAGAGAGTGCATTATAAGTGTCATTTAAACATTTTACTTCGATTTTGTTTACAAGCTAATGGCCAATTTTGAGTATCTGCTTTTAAACATCCCAGGAAGTGGGTCGCTCAACATTTTCTGGACATTTGGGTTGTCTGCAAACAATTTTAAGAATCACTGTTCTAATAGACCGATTTAGCGACAGGAAACTACTGTAGTATTGGTCATGTCACCACTACTTGTCTCCTGTCCATTACTCATGTTTGAGTCCAAACTCTAATTTTTGGGTGCACAACATTTCTTTATATATTTTAAACAAAATATGCTATGAAATTTTGGCATATACATTGTGGCAAGACACTGCTTCAGTCAATTACTTCTTAAACAATTTCCACAATTTTTTGTATTATCTGTGTCAGAGGTCAGATGGACAGTCTTTGAAGTACTGTGGATCAACACTGCCCCCAGTATTCAACTCAGTTGGTGGCTCGGCACAGATTAACATGATCACAGACAGTTCATCAGCTGGTCAAGGATTTATGTTAAAATATTACATATCAGGTATTCAACTTAAAAATATTATTATTATTATTATTATTATTATTGTTATTCTTATTTATTTTTTTTTTTTCTCGACTTTATTGGTTACTGTATCCTGGTTTCATATGTTTTAATGTTCAATGTTTTTTGTAATTTTATCTGTTTTGTTATTCTGCATAATGTTAGAAACCTAATAAAATCAAATCAACAGATGTATAAATATATTAAAAGGGATGTTGCAAAACCCTATTTACATAAGAAAAAAGTGTAGACGCATCCCCTGCTAGAACAGACATCGCAGGTGTTTCCAACAAAGTGTAAATTCTCTTGTGTGAAGACAATGATAACTCAGAAGTGATATCTCATCTCAGTTTTAATGCTACCTTTATTGTGAAGATCACATTAGTATTTTCTGTAATTTTTAGTATTGTGCATTTATAATAATTTGAGAGGCATTTTGGGCCAGAAAACTCAATAGAAATGATGTTTTAAAGTCTATTAACCTGACCTGTTAATATTCAAATTCCTACCTAAAACACCATTTAATAGTGATTATTCTTATACAATTTTTGACTATAGTATGTTGTTGTATGTTGCATAAATATGTAAAAATGTACAAAATTGAAAATAATACCTCTTTTATCCATAGACTGCAGTCGTGAAATTACTGATGAAAATGGACGTATTACCAGTCCAAATTGGCCATTGGGAACTTACAAGAACTTGCATGATTGTTATTACAACATAACGGCACCTACAGGCTCCTTTCTTTCCATCTATTTCAGTTCTTTTAACCTTGAATTTCATGCAAATTGTGTCTTTGATTATTTAGCTGTAAGTGTCAATGTTATGTTCATTTACTTGTGTTGTAATGTGCAATTGAGGGCGCCACTAACAATATTCTCAGACTAACAGCTAGGCACTCATTGCACTAAAGGTCGTCGGCCAATAGAAATGGATTTGTCGGCTGATGCAGTGTATGCCCAGCCTTAAAGGTCTCTCCAGATTATCGTATGCCCATATATAGTCATTGGTG